TTTTCAGGGTACATCAGTCTGGATTGGAAGTTGTTCTTTTTCAGGACTTGAAATACTTCACTCCAAGCTCTTCTTGACTTGTGGTTTGTGTTGAGAAGTCTTGTTTCTTTTCACTAACAGCTTTTAAATGTTCTGTTTTTGTGCTGAATTTCTAGAGTCTTGATTATTATACGTCTAGGTGTAGATTTATTTTGGTTTTAGCTAGCTAGAGTTCTATATGCCTCACTTACCTGTGTATTACGTCCTTTCCCCATGTTTGGGAAGTTTTTTGCTGTTACTTCTGTAAATAGAATTTTAATGTCATTTGTGTTGACCCCTCCTTTTCCACTGACACCTATTCTTAAGTTATTTTGCTTTGTGTCATCTTGCAGTTATTGAATTGTTATTTCTTAGTCCCCTGTTATTTTTTGGAGATCTTTGCTTATGTGATCGCAAGCTACAATCCTGTCTTCAAGGTTTCTTTCAAGCAGTTTTGCCAGCTTTCAATGGAGTTTTTAATTTCCTGGTATCTGAATCTGTTTCATGTATTGAGTCTTTTTTATATTGTTCATTCAAGATTTCCCTCATTTTCCTATGCTCCTCTATTTTTTTTATCTGTATCTTCTTTGGAGATGCTTAGCAATTCTTTCGTTTTTCATTTCTTTTTTTACCTGAGATAGTATTTCTGTTCTAAGTTCCTTTATAGCCTCATAGTTGTTTCTTCAGTTGCTGTCACTTCAGGAACTTCAGCTGTGCAACTCTGAATCTCTTTCATGTTACATCTGCTGCACTTGCTGTGTTCAGGTTGGAGGCCAGAGACTGCCTTTTGCTTCTTCCTCTTGACATATTCCTGGGTTCTTCCAGGCAAGTGGATAATGGGATCCCAGGCACTTTTCATGTTGGCTGCAGTTTCTCTGAAGCATGACTGTTTGATTCTCCTGGCTAGTGCTGGCAATGGGTAGCTGATGGTGGCCATTGAGTATACCGGTGCAGGGCTGGCTGCTGCTCTTCCCTACCTGCACTGAGTTGGCATTTGGTGAACTGGATGTCTGGGGTTGTGTCTTAAGTATTTTCTACTTTTTTCCTTTCTTTCCCTTATTCTTACTCATTTTTCATTTAATTCCTGGGTGATGCTTGTAAATTGCTTGTGGTGAGTTGCTTTATTATTTGTACTTAGAACCCTTAGGGAATGACTACTTCTTTGAGGTATCTTCCAGATATAGCTGTATTTTGGATTTGGAGTTTGTTGAAAAAAACCTACCTCTTTAAGTTGCTGGAGATGAGAAATTGCTGCCTGCTTGGCCTAGGCCTTGGTTGTTTGACATTGTGCCACAATATTTACTGTGACCCTTAGTGAATCTCTGTCTTGGAATACCAGAAAGAATAGTTCTTTAGTATGATTATGTCACTTTTGGCTAAAGTAGTAACATCAGTAATAACAGTGACATCAGACAGCTTAGAAAATGACAAACTGAAGTAACCATTAATCTGCTAGTTTTAACCGAATGAACTAGATAAAATAAACCAGAAATTTATATGTAATATTTAAGTCCTTAATATGTCAGTTTTTTCCTCTGGTTAAAATGTAAAAGGGGTTTGGGAGAAAATAGAGAAGTACAAGAAGAGGAAGTGATTAGAAGTAAGGCTTGAGGACAAATGTGGATCACACTTAACTTTGGGAAACTGAGGAAGAATATTAGAGACAAAAAGAGAAGGAAGAGTTACAGAAGAACAGAACAAGAATTACAAAGAGGCTAGAAATTATGTTTGCACTCATAGTAAAACAAGATCAAATAATGAAAGAGAAAACAAAAACAAAACCACCACCACCACCACAAAAAAGAGTGGAAGTAGCCACATGTCATACATGGCTATTAGAATCTCCAGAAAAGTGGGTAACTACAAAAATGATGTTTGCTTGAAGAGGGTTTAGGAAGAATACTAAAATCTATAGAAAAAGAACGGCAAAAGAATTTTGTTAGGAATGGCTAGAAGTTCATAGAAAAGTGTTTGGAGCAGGTATTAGTAAGATAGATTGTATTTGCTAGTTATCCATTGATGTTATTGATCCTTTTGCATATCTTAACTGATTTTCACTTTAAGTATGACAGTTCATTGTATCTCTGTTGTATATCAAATGTGAAGTATCACTGAGTCAAGAAAAAGGTTAGTTTTATAGCACCTCTCTCCTGATACCTCCTACCTCATGGTTTGTGCTCACTCTACAGGCAAGAAATTACAGGATTTTGCAGCCAGAACCATTAAACACTGGCAACTCACAGGCAGACATTCTAACCCATAGAGAAAAGAAAAGAATACTTATGCAGTTTGTTAAGAGGGTAACCTAGGATATGTCATCATCATTTATTCAGTTCTTTGCAGATGTACAGCCACTTGTTCCTGATTTTTCCATTCTAGCTTTGCTTTCTTTAATATCAACTTTTAATTGTCAGAGTACAGCACAAATTTTAATACGATTATTTGGTAAAGTCTGTTTATATGAACCAGAATATATCCAGTATGTTTTGCTTGCATAGTACGTGGTCCAAGTTGCCAAGGGTTCTTTGTCAAACAACTCTGACTACTGATAGCTGCAGGTGTCTAGTGGGGAGCACAGAGTGAAAGTCATACAATACTCTTAAAGGTTTATTTTCCCTATCTGTTCTTGCCTTTTTCCTTTTAAAAGGTGGTTACACTACAGCATGAGACATTGGAAATTATCATTTGAAGATGTACATTAAAAATTTAATATGATATAACTTTAAAAAATTTTTTCAGAGAACAGTAAAAATATATTATGCCATTGGAGAGTCTTATTAGAAATTCTAACTTTCAGTATGCTAGGAGTTAAAGATAAAATTGAAAGAAATTTGTATTTCTTTGTTTTAATGCTTGAGTTTCTAGTTGGTGATTCAACCAAGTTTACTAGATTTTGAGTTATGTGTTAAATCATGCATAATTTATTTGTTTTTTTTTTATTTTTTGCTGTTTTGATGTCTACTAGGGCAAGAAATTATTTGTTTATTTTGGTGATTTTTGAGACAAAATCTTGCTATGTAGTTCAGGTGGCCTTGAACGCTCAGTGATCCTCCTGTCTCAGCCCTCCAAGTGCTGGGATTATAGGTATGTGTTACCATGCCTGGCTTAGTGCAAGAAATTTTAACCCCATATTATGTTAGTGTATTTTGTATTTTTGAAAATACTGTGGAAACAGGCATTTTTTTCCCACTTAGACCTTATTATTTACCACTAAAACTATTAATATACTTTTGAAGCTTTAAAACGTTTATACTTGTCCATAATAGTAAACTTATTGTAGTGTGCACTCAGAATTCTTTTCTACTGTAATCAAAATTTTTCTTATAAATCCCATTAAAAATACTACATTATGCCTAACTTAACTCTATTAGTTTTCAAAGTTCTCATCAATTTACTCTCAACATAATCTTTTGTGTACAATAATGTGTTATGTATACAATTATTCTCTGCCTTTAGGAAAATTAAAACATGAGTCAGTCAATACACAATTATTAGGACTTACATACATTTGTAGTATTGGAGAATACCTATTTCCTAGCAAAAAAGAAGCCCTGGTTTTCAATATGTTTAAAAGGTTTTATTCACTGAAATGTATTTTAAGCCAGGGAGAAAATGTATAGTAGACAAAAGTAGATAACCTTGGGTGGATATGTGACCTGAAGGACAGTAAGCCAGTTTTTTTTGGAATATGAGGGGAACTGTAACTATTTCAGACTTTTGTAAAAAACAAACAAACAAACAAAAAAACAGCTGTATAAATGGAGAAAGTTTTGATCCCTTAGCTTAATATCGAATTTTGATGTTGAAATATTATTGCCCTGTTAAGAAATTTTTCCAACACTTTGACTAAATATTTTTGAGTTGGTGTTTTCTTATTAAAACTTTTTTAAAAGAGAAATTCTTTAAAATGATTTTAGAGGAAAAAATTAAGTACCCACCTCATTTTTTTTACAAATTGACATCATTGTTTTGACCAAAAATAGCATTTAGAAATGTCAGTGTATGTTATATGAAGTTGGAGGGTTGTTTTTCTCATTGATGTCCAGGTTTTCAAGAAATCTCTGAATAATATAGTTTTATTTTTGTGTCATACAAGCTCTCTAGAAAATAACCTTAGGTGAACTATTTGGCCTGACTATATCAAAAAGTAGAACCTGCTTTGCAGCTGTAATTTTATTTTAATCAACATATGGTTTAGAAGAGGTTTCCTTGTGGACACATCAAGCTAGTAAAGGAATGCTTCTTTATGTTTACATAACGAGATAGGCTAGAAAGCTTGTTTTAAGAAAGTGAGGACATCTTTATCCTGCAAAATGAGTAATGCATAAGATAATTCAGAAACGTTGACCCAGGAGCATAGCTAAAAAATGTTTTCATAAAATGGATTCCCAGAATTCTAGTGATAGTTTTGTCCCTACTCAGTGTATTTAAATAAAATATTTGTTTGTATAAGCTTTGTTATGTGTTTCCATTGGCAGGATATTTTCTGGAGTCCATCTTACATACATGTAGCTTTTCCAAATCATTAAGCAGTTTTCATTATTATAACAAGCTTAGGGTTCATTACAAAAATTTTGTTTTTTGTCTTTTTTTTTTTCCTTTTTATCAGTACCAGGGATTGAACTCACAACTGCCTGCTTGCAAGGCAGGTGCTAATGCCGCTGGGCTAAATCCCCAGCCCCTTGTTAAAAAATTTTAGGTTTTTTTTTTTTTTTTTTTTGTCGTTGTTGTTGTTGTTATTGAAGCCAATTATGCATAACCATTTTGGAACTTGGGTGCCTGGCTAAATACGTTGAACTAAATACGTAGAACAGTAAAAGTAGATTTGGTAAAATGACATTACAGAAACATGATGTGAAGTAGTCATCTGAATATTCATTATAGAATGAGCATGTTTTTGTATTTATATTGAATTTATGATGATTTGTCTATCAGGAATTTTACCTATTTCCTTCTTTTCCCACTCTTCTTATTCTTATCAGTGTAAACCAGAATATAAAGTACCTGGACTTTATGTTATTGACTCCATTGTGCGACAGTCCCGACATCAATTTGGTCAAGAAAAGGATGTGTTTGCACCCAGATTTAGTAATAACATCATTAGCACTTTCCAGAATTTATATCGTTGCCCTGGGGATGACAAGGTATGCTGTTAAGGAAACACTTTACCCTCTTGGTTTTATTTACTATCCTCAGATTTTCTTAGTATCTAATTTACGTTATTAGGTTATTCGGAGTTTGAATAATTATTACAATATTCATATTCCTTTACTTAGAATTTCTTGGGCAGTTGAAATATATAATTGAATTTGTAATTTTTTAATGTATTGAAGCAACTGCTGTTAAATAAATTGGTTTCAATAAGCTATTGGAATTATACTAATCATGTACAACCAATTTGGGATTATGATTATGTGATTTGAGTTGATTTCTGTCTTTATTTCCTTTTTTTGTCTATTTTGAGACAGAGTCTTACTATGCAGGACAGGCTGTTTTAAGCTCACTGTGTAGCCAGGTTGGTCTTTAACTTGCAGCAGTTCTCCTGCCTCAGCCTCCCATGTACTGGGATTTCAGTTATGCCCAGCTTGATGTTCACCTTCTATCAGTTGTGAAAAATGGATCTGCGAAGCAGTTATTAGAAAATAACTGCATTATCAGAATTCTTTGGTTATGGTACAATTTTATTAAATTGTTAGAAACCAACTCTTCTAGGTCTGCTAGATGTGAATGTATACTCTAACATATAAAAACTTTGCATTCAGAGGCACAACAAAAATGAGCTGTTTATCCTTATGTTTGCCATGTAATAATAGATTATTTTAAATGATGATTTGGAATTTAGATGGTGCTTTTCTAAGACTCGAACACAATGTTGATAAACAAAGAAAAGGCAAGAATGAGTTAAACCCGGCTGGGACTATAACTCTGTGGCACAGTACCTGCCTGCCAACTGCACAAAAAGAAAAAGAATGAATTAAACCTAATAATGGTGGTTGTAAGAAGGAACCACAAAACCTGAAAGTTTCCATTAGGGTTTCAGCTCATTTTAAGTAGGACAAGATTAGGTAGTTTTTATTAACTGTTATATAGGCTTGAATCAAAAAATCTTGTGATGAGTAAATATAGAGATGAATTTATAATAGTAGTTTTTAATGAGCCGTTCTTGGATGTATAGTTTTTTGGTACTGGGAATTAACCACTGAACTAAATCCCCAGCCTTAAGTGACCTATCTTAATTGAGTCTTAAATAGCTATCTTACAATCCCATCTGAAATAAATTACTAATTTGAGATTTTACAAAAACATTTTCTATAGTAAAATAGCACTTTGATTTAGGATTGTTACTAAGTCAGGCATAGATTTGTATCAGTTGTAGTGAATTAATCATTTTAAAATATGATTTCATAGTCTTAATATCTCTCATTTACAATAATGTTTATGAAGTTTTTTTTAACCATAGGAAAAAAGTTAATTAGTGCTTTAATTTCATAAAATGAATAAATGAGGAGAGACATTGTTGGAATGTAAAAAGAACATGTGATTTTTAAATGTCCACTTTATGTGTGTGTATGCACCCATGCTTATATATGCATACATGTTCACACCTATTTTATGGTATTAACTAGGGATTGAACCCATGGACTTTAGCATGCTAGGCAAGCCCTGTCCCTTAAGCTACAGCACTTGCCCTAGTGAGGTTAGGCATTTTACCCAGAAGAAAATAGTCAAATTGGAAAGTTAAAGTATTTGTTGTGTAATTGTTTTACTATTTATCCAAATACAGAAATTTGCAATGTAATGTAGTTTGGGTATAATTTGAAAGTATATCATTATATTATGAAAAATTTAAAATGAAGCAGATCTTTATTTGGAAATATATATATACAACTAGCATTTTTTATAATTTAATGACAGCTTCTTTTAAATTCTTTTCCTGATGTAGTATAAGTAGTCTTACAATAATGGCTGTTACTACTCTGTTTGCAAAACATTGATGTGTTAAACAGTTGAGAATCAAATAGGGTCATGAAGGTTTGCAAATGCAGCATGGTAGAAAATAGAATTTAAGGGGCGGAAAATGCTGTAGAAGTACCTGAATTTCTTGTTCTAATCAAGCATCTGATTACTTTGTTAAGAATGACTGTGGTAAGATTTTGAAAGCAAAACCTCAAAATGTCTTTTTTCTTTTTTTTAAGAGTAAAATAGTGAGAGTATTAAACTTGTGGCAGAAGAACAATGTATTCAAGAGTGAGATTATTCAGCCACTTTTGGATATGGCAGCAGGAATCCCTCCTCCTGTTGTCACACCTGTTTTGGCCAGTACTACTACTGCTCTGAGCAATACTCCAGGTATATTGCCACAATATAGTTTGGTGTCTATATTCTACTCATTTTTTATAGGATTGTTAATTTTTAAAATAATTTGACAGTACAGGAGAATATGTGTTAACATTAGGTATGAAAATGTAATTTAAAAATCCGATTTGTTCCTTGTAGAATTTAGAAAGCTTTTTTTTTTTTTAATCCTCAGGAACATGAATGTGGGAAAATAGATTTTGTCAGTTAGTTCTTTCCTGATTTAGGCTATTGGTATCCTCACATTTGCATCTAAATCAGCTTGCAGTTTATACAAAGAATCCTAAAAAAATTTTTATGCAAATTAGAATGCTTTTTTAATATTCTCAAAATCATGTTTTCTTGGACTATTTAAGTGACATTAAAATTTTTTATCACAATCTCAAAAACTAAATTTGTTAGCATTTTATGTGTTTACTTTGTTTACGTACACAGTTTTAACAAAAATAGCTTTGTATTATACATATGTACTGCTTCATAATTTTTCATCAAAGGATGTGTTTCATTCATATTACCAGGTTTTCTGTGCTAAGGTCTTTTTTTTTTTTTGGTCTTTTTTGTTTTTATCGGTACCGGGGATCGAACTCATGACTGCCTGCTTGCAAGGCAGGTGCTTTTGCCACTGAGCTAAACCCCCAGCCCCTGTGCTAAGGTTTTTTAATGCTGCTAAGTATTATAGATTAAAATAGGAGCTTAGATTACAAAGGATAAATGTGACACAATTCTTTTAGGATATGTTTTATAAATCTAGCTAATTATTTCAAGAATTTTAAATGTGCTTTCAAAATAGAGACAATAGTATTTACATAAACTTATATATATTTGATTAAAGTAACAGAACAGATCTGTCTTTTCTTAGTCTTATTTACATGTTTATTGGGGGGTGGGGATGTCTTTTTCTGAAAGGAACGCCTGTGACACCTGTTACTCCAGCCAATGTGGTCCAAGGCCTGTCTGATCCATGGGTATCTCAGATAACAAACACAGACACACTGGCTGCTGTTGCTCAGATCTTACAAAGTCCTCAAGGCCAGCAGGTAAGCAACTTTTCTGTTATGACAAGAGTGATGTAGAATTTTCTCATGTATTATTTAATAACACCTAGAGAATACTGTTTTAAAAAAATAGTATTACTGTATGTAGATCCATCTGTAGCTTTCACTTTTTTAATTCATTGTGAACATTTTAATGCTTTATAAAAATTGCTTTATAAAAGATTGCTTTATAAAAATCTAAAAAAAATCTTTATAAAAATCTAAAAAATCTAATCTATAAAGATTGCTTTATAAAAATCTTATTCTATACTAGGATGATTTCTCAATGCTTAGTTTGTTCCAAACATCATTGTATATTGTGCTGTCCCAATAACAACACAGTGGTATTGTATCTTACATGAAACAGACTGGTTTTTTGTTGTTGTTTTTAAGACAAGTTCTCGCTATGCAGTTCAGGCTGGTGTTAGGCTCACTTTGTAGTCCAGGCTGGTTTCAAACTTGCAACGATCCTCCTAACTCAGTCTTTCACGTGCCGGGGTTACAGAAGTGCATCTCCATGCCCGGCGAGACAGACAACTTTAAAATATGAAAGTATGAGCGGCTGGGGATTTAGCTCAGCTGTATAAGCGCCTTCCTTACAAGTGTGCGGCCGTGAGTTTGATCCCTGGTACCGATAAAAACAAAAAAGACAAAAAAAAAAAAAAGAAAGTATGACCAAAGTTAGAAGAAGGAATTAGTTTTAGAGAGAGGGTGGCCATGACAAGATATTAAGGAAGTGACATTTGAATTGAGACTTGTAATAGAGCTGGACATGTCAGGACAGGATGATAGGAAGCAGAATTGTAAGCGTTGACTTCCTAAGGTAGAAAGCAGTATATTGTAGGAGTAGAAAGCTAGCTCCTAAGGCTGCAAGCTCAAGAATAGAGAGGAATTGTACTACATGTATCAGTTGATTTGAAGGACGAGAAAGATTACTGGCAATATTATATCAAGTAATTTCATATAATGAAATTACTTACACTTCTTTGTGATATTGAGTCTTGAACCTAGGATCTTTGCACTGAACTACACTCCTAGCTCTTTTGCTTTTTTGCTTTTCCTGCCTCAGTCTACCAGGCTACTAGGATTAGAGGCATGTACCACCATGCCTGGTATGTATGTATATTTTATATACATATATATAAACATATATGTATATTTTATATATATATTTATACATATATTTATATACATACATATTTTTTATCATTCAGATCTTTTGTATCTTATACTTGGTAAAATATATGTAGTTTCTTCAGAGTTTTTAGAATTTTTTTCTGTGAGTACCTTTGAATAGATTTATTTTCTGTAGCCAGTGCCAGTCTAATGCTTTTAGTTTTAAAAAACATTGTTTTTCCTTAATTTTCAAGTTAAAATATGTCATTTGTAATTAATGATAATTATCCTCAATTTAAGGATAATCTATAACATATATTTGTCTTACTGTGCTAATTATAGTCTCAAAAGAAATTTTAACAGACATGATTGCATTCATTCTTATTTTTTTTCTGATCCAGTAGGTAAAATGAATGTTATTTTAAAAAACAAGAATGAACTTGAAAATGTAATAAAAATCTCCTAAAATACACTAAGACCTTGAGAATTTTGACTTAAGTTCATCCACAAGCAGACATCATTCAAGTTGCACTATACAGAATAGAAAAAAAGAAATGCGTATATGAATGGAGAAGTAATTTAAGTGCTGAAAGTAAATGATACATAAATTTTGGTAGGGCTGCAAAATAGTTGCAAATTATTTTACATTTCAAAACAAAATGATAGAAAATTTAAATTCATTCTCAGAAGTGTGTTGTATGTGTGATAAAGATTGTAACGCTAAACAATGATTAGAAAATCTGTTAATAAAATTCCTTATATTGCTGGCTAAAGAATTAAAGGCAAACTATTACTATATTAATGACATCTTAAATAAAATTTGATGAAAACACTGTCATGTGGGAAAATCAGACTGTGCCCCTAATAAAGAATACTTATTTCAAGAATGAGCATGGTTGCACATGCCTCTAATCCCAGCACTCCAGTGGCGATGCAGGAAGATTACCACAAGTTCAGTTCCAGCTTGGGCTACATAGTAAGTTCAGTCCTAGCCTGAGCTGTGTAGTGAGACCTTGTCTAAAACCAAACAAACAAACAAAAAATAAAAGACATTTCAACACAATTTAAAAACCAACTTTGATTCTGTCAGTGAGAAATAAGAGGCATCTTTATTGAAACCTGAAAAAAAGATAAAAATGGTGTCATTATCTTCTGTACATCAGAACTTTACCCAACTCCACTATTCAAACCAAGTTATTATCTCTATGTTGAATTTCTAAGACCTTGCTTTTTTTACTTCTCCCAGTTCTCTAATTTTTCATTTTGATTGAATTTATTATGCATTATAGTTGTATTTATGCATTGCATTTAACTTTCCTAGTAGGTATTAGGCTTCCAAAGGCCAGAGAATAGTTTCTGATTTTTGTATATCCCAGCAGAAAACACAGAGCCTTACACATTGCAAAATCCCAACAAAAGTTTGTTGAAAGGTGATTTGAAGGAAAATCTTCTGTTACATGGCATAATACCAGTGAGCTGGATATTGAATAAACTTTGAAATAGTTTACTTTGATTTTAATAGTGAATTAGAAAATAAGACTTTAGCAATAAATATTTATGATTAAAAACAAATTTTAGTACTTTTTCATAATTTTTAAAAATCTCACTTTTGCTGCTCATTTTACTATATTTTATTGGTTTTGCTAATTTTATTTAACTTTTAAAAATTTTTTGGGCTTTTTGAGAGAGAGTCTCACTATGTAGGACAGGCTGGCCTCAAACTTGCAGCGATTACCCTGCCTTAGCCTCCCGAGTGCTGGGAGGTGTGTACCACTACGTTCAGTTTGTTTTTGTTAAAGATTTATGTTTCTTAGATATTTTGCTTTGTTTTCTTTCTATTACCATATTACCCAGTCTTTATTTTTGGACTGTTTATAGACTCTCTAAATGGCATTTGGTATCTTTGCTTCTTCTCTTTGCTTTTTGATTCATTATTTTGTTTTTCTCATAATTTTAAAAATTAAAATTAATCTTTACAGATGGTCTTCTAAATTGGGTGTGATGATGCATGCCTGTAATCCTAGCATTCAGGAGGCTGAGTTTGAGATCAGCCTAGACTACATAGTGAATTCAGAGCCAGCCTTAACTACAATGTGAGACCTTGTCTCAAAAAAAAGTCTTTTCGGTCTTAAACATGGACTCACAAATGTACAGAAATTGCATAAAATCCAGTATTTATAGGTATTCTCAGTAATAACTATTAAATTTTCCAACATTTTTGTTACTGGTAAATATATTCCTCTAAAATGATATATATATTTTCTTTGCTAATATTGTTCCTGTTTTATCATCTCTTTTCTCAGTTGTCTTGAGTCTCATCCTAAGATAGTCCCTTCACTAAGTCTTGTTTGTTCTCAGATTGATCTCTTATTCTCTTGTCAACATTTTCCATCACAGTGCATAGCTTTCTCTAAACAAATGTTAACTTTCCTTTACTCTTTTGGACCCTCCTATTGTCAAATAATTTGTTTTCCTTCATCATTTATTTACCCAAGTGTAGTATTTTGTTCCACCCTAGCCACACTGGCATTTTTGCTGTGCTTTATGTATACTACTCACTGCCAAAGATCTTTACACTTGATGTTTCCTATATTGAAACATATATTCATATGATATCAGTCTCCTATAAATCATCATTTAAATGTCACTATAATGAGGCCTGACTACTAAAAATTAAAACTACTTCCCTTCTGCATCCCCCTCCCCCCCTTTGAAACAGGTCTTGCTATGTAGTTTAGGCTAGCTTTGAACTCATTGGGTAGCCCAGGCTGGCCTTAAACTTGCCATGACCCTCCATCCTCAGCCTGCCAAGTGCTGGGATTATAGGCATGTGCCGCCACACTCAGCTCTTCTCTTTCCTTATGTTTCTCACTTTCTCACTTGCTTTATTGCCTTTCTTAGTTCATACTACCGTCTGTAACATATACTTGGCTTGTTTTGTAATGGTTATATATTTTTTTGTTTCTTCTATTGCAATATGTGCTGTCCCAGGGTCTGGATTTTTGTCTGTCCTTTTTGTTGCTGTACATCTGCATGATACTAGGTTTCATTACACTGTTGTAGAATGAATGACATACAGGGGCCTGCCAATGTTGGCTATACAAGAGGTATTTTAGAGTTGTGTAGAGGATGGACTGTGTAAATTATTAATGACAAAGTTGAAAAGGCAATCTTAAATGAGACCAAGGTGTTGAAAACAGTAACAATGGGAATACAGAAGTCATAGTAAGCAGTATGGAATTGACAGGGATTTTTATATTGAAGTCATGTGATCTGAACAGTATTTTACATGAGTTGGAGAGGAAAATGACTACAAATAAGGAATGTCTTCCTTTCTGCAACAGTGATACTGGAAGAGATGTGATAACTGTGCGAAAAATAGTAAGATTGGGTATTGTGTGAAAAAATACTTTAAAAACATCTGAACCTTTTAGAGGTTTACAAAATCAATTCAGTGTAAAGTTGTTTTGGATCTAGTTTATTTTTTAAAGAGACAGGAAACATGATCTGGATATTAGATAACATTTCATGTGTGATAATATATTGAAAATAATTGACAAAGCAGAGGTTTTCATTTTAAGAGCCTAGTAATAACTTGATAGAAGGAATTTTCCAGAAAAAATCTCACAAAGAAAGTCAGTAAGACAGCAGTTTTTTTATTTTTTCCCAAAGACATAGTACAGAAGGTCAGTACAGTGGTAATTGATAAAACATGAAGTCATTGTAGAGAGATAAGTTGAATACTGGAACTTGGGTAGGAACAGCTGTACAGATGAAGTTGCCAAGAGGAATAGTAAAAATACGTAAAGGAGAAATACAGCATTTCTTTTCTTTACTTCCTTTCTCTTGTCCCTTTTTTCTTTCCTTCCTTCTTCATAAGGATTTAGAGATATGTGTTGATTAGTTGTTACAGAGCTTTACATATTTTTGTATTGATTTTTTTTATCACATTAACAGTGTGTTTTACTTTTAGAAAATGTTTGATTAAACAACTCTACTTTCTTTTCTAATGTTGTTAAATTACAAAAGGCATGACATTTTATTTAATGTCACGTTGCATGGTATTTCTGCCTGGTCTTTCACACTGAAAGTTGAACTTAAATAAAGCTTTTTTGACTATCAGTAGCTTTGCTACTTTATTTAGAACTTTTAAAAATTATTTCAAAATTATTTTGTAATATATTTTTAATTACTAGTACAGTAATTACATACATGCAGAGCACAATAGTGTGACATTTCAGTAAACATATATGATATGTAATGATTAAATTAGGGTTATTGGTGTGTGTGTATGTGTATTCATTGATTCCACCCATTTATAGTTTATTTTTGTTGAAAATATCAAAATCCTCTCTACTCTGAAATCCTTTACTCTTTTTGTTGAAACATCGAAATCCTCTCTATTCTGAAGCACTCAATTGTTGTCAGCTGTGGTTCTCTTACTGTGCTATGGAATGTTATTCTTCCTACCAAACCATATCTATGTACCTGTTACCTTTTATTTTAAAACTTTGTTACTTCTGATGTATATATATACATCAGAAGTATATATATAGGGGTTTCTTTATGGAATCTTAAAGAGCTTACTGTTGTATTTAATATGGGTGGGTAAATAGTGTAAATGAGTTGCTTTCAACTGTGGTTAACATGCATCATTTACTTTGTCTCAGACTGTGCTTCACAGAACAAATTTCTTAGTCTTCTGCTTTCAGAAAATATATTCTCAGCTGGTAAATCTGAATGATAGTAAAAGATGCTGCTGTTGTCAATACTCATCCCTTTACAGACTTAAATGAAGAGGGGGATGAGAAGATTAGTGGAAAATAACCAGTCAACTTGTGAAGAATTTTTTTTTTCGTTTTTGTTTTTATGGTATGGCTGCTTGTTATGTTTAAAATTTGACTTTACAGAAGCAGGATAAACAAAGTACTGTTGTGTATGTATACAAACCTTTTCTTGATTATCACAGATTGTTTAGAATGATTAACTTTATTGACTAAAAGTTGTCAGTGACATCCTTATAAATAAAACTCAGCTCCTATTTTGTACTATTTTTTCCCCCTCCAGCTTCAGCAGTTAATACAGACTTTACAGATACAACAGCAGAAGCCCCAGCCTTCCATCCTGCAGGCCCTGGATGCTGGTCTTGTGGTTCAGTTGCAGGCTCTCACTGCACAGCTTACAGCTGCAGCTGCAGCAGCCAACACACTTACTCCCTTAGAACAGGGAGTCTCTTTTAACAAGGTAGTAATTGAAATAGTATATGTATTCTATATGAAATGATAAATCTCGTTTAATTTGTCTATTCTATTATATAGTTACATTTTATCAGAAACTTTTATCACTGTACTCTGAAACATTTCTATTTTATAAATGATTCAAACTTACAAAATAATTTTTAAATCCTTGAAACATTTAATATACAGTAATTTTTTTTGATTAAAGATAGTATATTTTCCATTAAAGCAAGTTACTGTTTTTTGAAATTCATGGTATAGATGCTATAATTATATTAAGTGTGGTGGTCTATGTTCTGTAATTTTAATTTCTGAAATTAAAATTGTTCAGTATGTGAAAGGTCAAAGGAAAACTTCTCTACAATTTTTTACATTAATTATTATAAATTGAAGCCTAAGTATAGAAGATAGTGTTTTTATCTTTTTTCTAGTATTCATTGTTATTAGTATGTGTTTGCAGTACATAATGATTGCATTAATCATGGGCAATTGGTGCCTGCACATACTATATTTGAATTTTTTGTACTTCCTCTCACCTCCCACCCTTCTGCCTCCGTTTCTTGGTCTAGTATTGAAAATGTTCAATGTATAATTTACTGTTTGATACTCTAGGTATGCTTATTATACCTATTATATACCTGAGAAGTAGTATATGTGTATGTTTTTAATTTCTGCTACTGTTATTTTCATAGGAAGATAAAAATTGATTTTTTAAATTATTAGCTGGACTATTTTGGCTTGCAGCTTCCAAGTCTAATTTTTCTAACTTTAAAATTGCTGAACTACATAAAAAAAACTTTAAATTGAAAATTTAAAGATAGCGAAGCACTCTCTTTGCAATGAGAATTACACTTGGGAGTCAATCCACTAATTATAGTTATAGATATTTTATCAAACTGTATTACAGTGGGCAGGCTACCAAGTTACTTTAATCCTTCATATTTTCTTCTGTAAATTAGAACATTAGTGTTTATATTGTCTATGTCACAACATAGTGTGTACACTGCCTACTATCATATGGTAGTAATACCACCTCATTCCCAGAGGGACCCCTATGGATCCTTGAAGCTGCAGATAGTACCAAGTCATCTACACATAATTTCTTTTCCTATACATACATACTTATTAAGAAGTTTAGTATACAAAATTAGGCACAATAAGAAATTAAATAGTATCTATTTAAATATTAAATAATAAAAATATAACAGTATACTGTAATAAAAATTATATAAATACGGTCACTTGAAACAGACAAATATGTTCAAGTACAATTGACTGTGGCAACTGCAGAAATTGAAGCCACGACAAATAGGGCACTAAATGTATGGCAGAGTGCTTTAAACAAAGAGTAAAGATCCACCCATACTTCATTCTATTGTGTAAAATGATTTAAAATACACTAATGATAAACTCAAGAGACATTTAAAATAGCATTTTTAATTTATATTTGTGTGAAGCACCTCTTAATTTGTCCTTTTCTTTCTCTTGCTCTCAGAAGTTGATGGATAGGTTTGATTTTGGTGAAGATTCTGAGCATAGTGAAGAACCCAAAAAGGAAATTCCAGCTCCTCAACTGTAAGAATTATGTTTTTCTTTATGATCATAGTTTCTTTGTATTATTCTATAAATATTGGGTAGAATATTTCCATCTGATCTGTTAAATATACTTTGAACAAGTTATGTACCACTGAACATTACATTACTGAAAGAAGATAAAGTTGCTCCCTTGTTGCCTCCCTAGATTACTGAGATTCTTTTTCACACCTTTGCAAATAGAATACATGAAAATTCCTTATAGAAATATTGAAATATCTGATTGTGGTATTTTCAGTGTTTCTGTTGACTTTATTTATATCTTTTAAAAAGAATATTGGGCCTAGTGTTAGGGTCCAATTTGAGGAAATGTATCAAATTATAAGAAATATATAAACTAATCAAGAGTAAGGATTGGGTTTGTAGGGATGTGAAGAAATAGATTCTATGTAGTTACTTAAATCAGTGTTACCCCTTTCTCCAACAATTGTGCAAAGTCATAGGTTCTAAAGAGGTATTCTATATGAAAAGACTGTAGAAGGAGGATGTTGGAGTTTGGGAGGTGGAATTTGTGAGAATTCAAGATAGAAGACAAATGATGAAAGCCTCTAGCACTCATATTTCCAACAGATTATTAGTTTTATGTATTTGGTTAACATGTATGCATAATCATAGAACATAAAATACAAATATATCCTTTTGTTACAGGAAATTTTCTTGATAAAATTAAAAACTAATATTTAGATTATGAAATTGGAGCATTTGAGAGCCTGTAGATCAATGTCCTAAATGTGTGAAAATGTCTGACAACTCTGTCATTATGTATCCAGTATCTTAATGTCTTCTAAGACAAGAATTTAATTGTGAAACTGAATTTTGTTTCCTTTTTTTCTACTTTTTCTTCTTTTTGAAGCAAGGAAGCAAATTTACTCCTTTACCTTTTGACATTTAGCATGTGAATGTTTGAAAGTAGATGTTATTTTTCCTCTTAGGTTTATTTGCTCCACGAGTAGTACACTTTTCTTCAATTGTGTCAGGACTGACCCTTTAGGGATGCCCTCGTTTTTGGTTCATGTCTTAGCTTGTGGCCCCCAGAATTTCAGGAGTGAATTTCCTAGAACATAGTTAAATGATTATATCCTGTTTACTGTCTGTTTCTGGTAATAGGCCAAGTAATGTGCGTGCTTTTCTAAAAGCATATTAGTTTTATGAAGTTTATGGTTAGTTACACTTGTGGACCCTACACATAATGATCAGTAGAGCATTTTTCCCACTTTCACACTATTAAAAGGATTTAAAATGACAATGTTTAAAATACTATTTGTGTTTTCTTAGCTGTAATAAAATTTACTAATTTCCATATATTTGATAGTACAAAATAGTAATATTAGATCTTCATATGTATCTAATGATATGGTATCTATCTGTTGAAACACTAGTAAGCACAGTTCTTTTAATGCTTTAATGTTCCTAAGCATTTTATTTGCGTGTTAATATTTCAAAAACAAATGTAATAATAGAGCACATTTTATCAAATTGGCAGTTTTGTCTTTGAATACTCAAGTTATTTTTATATTATCCTTAATGAGTGTTAAAATAGATTTCTTTCAATTTTCTTTTTAGTTCTCATGTTTCAGAATCTGTGAACAATTCCATTTTTCATCAGATAGCAGAACAACTACAACAGCAAAACCTTGAACATCTCAGACAGCAGCTTCTGGAACAGCAACAACCACAGAAGGTTCATAACCCCATCTTGTGGTCTTTGGAGTTATTACTGTTTTTTTCTGTAAATTGGAGTTATCCTGGGGTGGTTGATTGGTGTTTGCTTTTGGACGTAATAGTATATTTTCTCATCTGTTTCAGTGTATACCAGTCACTTCATTTCCTTTTTTAAAGTATGATATTTCTTTAACTGTATACTACTGTGGATTAAGCTTTTCAATTTTTTATAGTGTTTTCTGTAATCAGTGTGTTCTGGCAGTTTAATAAATCCATAAATTTAATTTCAGTATTCTGGAAGTAACAATCAGAAGGCTAAGGTGGGCTTTTATTTTATTCTATTTTATTTTTTTACTTTTGGATACAGGGTCTCACTGTGTAGTTTAGGCTGGCCTAGAGTTCCCTTTGTACCCCAGGCCAGCTTTGAACTCGTGACAGTACTCCTGCCTCAGCCTCCTGAGTGCTGGGATTACAGGCGTGAACCACTACGCCTTGTCTGAGGTGGGCTTTTAGAACTACCACTTTTTTGTGTTTTTTTTTCCTTCTACTTTGTTCTTTGTTTAGCAAAATAATAATGATTTTGTTATTGGTGGTAATGATAACCATAAAAAGATTACTGTTTTAATTTTAAAAATGTAATTGTTATTACCATTTGGCAAGAACTTTGTTAGGCATATATTAAACATAATTACATTGAGTCTTCATGAGGTAGGCATTATAACTCCCATTTACTCTAGAGGAAGTTGAAGCCTAGTGAAATTAAACATGTAATGCAAAACTATATAGCTAATATTATATATAATCAATCTTAAGATACACCACTATTTTCTGTGTAGCCGGGAATTTTAAAACACGTGAACTAAAGTTTAACATTCTTTTGTTTTGTAAAAATCTTTTTAAGTTTCATGGATGATGAAGTAAGAAAATGTATTGCACCCTAGAATTAACCAGTATGTTCAATCATAGAACCAAGATTAAATGTATTACGAAGTTTAGTTCTATTTTATATGAGAAATACTTGTAGGTATAAACGTTTCAGCTTAAGTGTTAGAAAATTCATACAGTTCACTTTGCTATTAATAAAAATTTGGAGACATGAAAGAACTTAATGCAATACCACAAAAACTTTTAAAATATGTACAGTTATTCTTAGGCAAGTAGTATGTACAAAGGTAAATGGAAAAGTGATTATTTGAGGTTCTGGCATGAAATAGACTCTTTCCTGATGGAGCTACATAAATTTGTAAACATTGGCAAATTTCTCGTTTCTGTAATAGAAGTGTGAAGGATTTGGAGTATATTAAAAAAGGAATAGGTACTTCAGCTGGAAGGGATAGCAGATGAGACATAGCTGTTTCTGCACTTCGAATAATGGTTCAAACTATTTAAAAATGTTCTTTGCTTTTAGGTAAACTTGAGTTTATATAAAACTGCAATTTTAGATTTGATTATAAAGAATTTAACATGAAATTTCTGAATATTGGGCTCCTCTAAACATGTAATTGTGATGTTTGTTGTATCTAAGTTTTCATAAAAGTGTATCCCAATGTTGGTGTTTTTTAATAGGCAACTCCTCAGGATAGTCAAGAAGGAACATTTGGGTCTGAGCATTCGGCGTCACCATCACAAGGGAGCAGTCAGCAACATTTTCTTGAACCTGAGGCAACTTTGGATGATTCCATAGATATTCAACAACAGGTAAGGACTTTTCTGAGTCACAAATTTCTAAAATTATTTTAAGAAATCATGCAAAATATTGAATAGTAATAATGTCCTGAATGTGTCTTTTCTATACAGTCCCCATATGCCACTTTTTAATCTATTGGACACTAACTCCTTTTTTAAAGGAAGAAATCTAAACTTTCTATTTTGCTTGCCCTTTTCACTTTCAAGGATATGGATATAGATGAAGGGCAAGATGGAGTACAAGAGGAAGTCTTTGAACAAGAAGCTAAGAAAGTAGCAGTTCGTTCAAGATCAAGGACTCATTCACGATCACGTTCAAGGTTCTATAATAATACTTAACAGTACCTGTGTGTGAACTTAAAAATGTTGGCTTGCTTTCTTTGCATCAAGATTAAAAAAATTTTTCTTGTGAAATTTTTAATCTTCCTAGAAAGTAAATTGAAAGCAAAAACATGAAAACCTTTGTTCTATTTTTTATTGGGTATGTCTGTGCCATTTGAATAAGTTACATAACAGTGGCAGGTATATCGTAAAACTGAAATTTTGGTTTATCACTTAATTTTAGTTAGTATTAGGATGACAGTTTAGGATGTTATTACCTCTGAACATCTGTTAATTGTATTTCTTAAATTCTAATTGATTTTCTAATAATACCAAAATGCCTAAAAAATTAAATTTCAAAATCATTTGTACAAAATGCCAAGTATAGTACTAAGATATTATAGAACGTTTACTATAAATGTTTTTATTTTTAGATTTAACATAAAGTCATTGGTCTTTAACGCCCCTCCTCTCTGCAGTATTAGAGAGTTGAACCCAGTGCTTCATACTGAACTACATCTGCCTGCTGTCCATCTGTCTGTCCTTCATTCTTTTCCTCCCTCTTTCCTTTCTTCCTGTGTGTCCTTCTTACTTGTCTTTTTTTTTTTTTTTTTTTTACTGGTACTGGGGATCGAACTCATGACTGCCTGCTTACAAGGCAGGTGCTTATGCCGCTGAGCTAAATCCCCAGCCCCATGTCCTTCTTACTTGTTTATCTGTCTGTTTATCGTTTTAATAGGCCTTATTAAGTTACCCAGCCTGGGTTTGAATTTGTGATCCTCCTACCTCAGTCTCTCAGAGTGTTGGAATTATAAGAATATGTCCTAGGGGCTGGGGATTTAGCTCAGTTGCATAAGCACCTGCCTTGCAAGCAGGTGGTCGTGAGTTTGATCCCTGGTACCAATAAAAATGAAAAAGATAAAAAAAAAAAAAAAAAAAAGGAATATGTCCTCCATGCCCAGCTTATGTTATATACTTATGTATTTTTTAAATAGGTATTAACCCCCTATAAATAGGTATTAATTAAATAGGTATTAATCCCCTATTAAATAGATATTAATTCTCTAACCTCTGGAAAATCTGCAGAGTTGAATGTTGCAATTATTTCAGTATCACGTACTATTGTAAAGTTAGGCAACATAAAATTTTAGAAGTACAAAATTCTTTTGCAGAATTACATAGTGAAGTAATGCTTTGTTGGAAAATTTGTCTTATTTTCTCATGATAGGAGGCTAACATTTTCATCGCATAAACGTTCGTTTTATTTTCTTTGATCTTTCATTTGTGTTCTTGACTTCTATTTGAAAATATACTGGAAGACACTATGAAGCCCTTTCTCAGATCTTACTCACTTTTTCTAGGTGAATGTTCACCTACATTCAGAGTCATTAAACATTTTTCAGCAGTGTAGATGTACCCAGTATGATATTCAAGCAAAATGCGTGTTTGATACTTGATTATATTATAAAGCATTTCAAGAAGTAGCAAACTTTGTCCTCCCTTGCTTCTTGATATTTGCAAATTTGCTGGAAGAATAACATTGTCATTAGAAGTAAATAAAACATTTTTTATAGATCACCAAGAAAACGAAGATCCAGGTCACGATCTGGTTCTAGAAAGCGTAAGCACAGAAAGCGATCACGCTCCCGCTCAAGAGAAAGAAAGAGGAAGTCATCACGTTCATACTCAAGTGAAAGGAGAGCCAGAGAAAGGGAGAAAGAACGGCAGAAAAAGGGGTTACCTCCAATTAGGTCTAAAACATTAAGTGGTAAGTAATGCTGGTTTCAGTAAACTATTTACCTGGTGCAAAATTTCTCATCTAAATTTTTTCACACGTAAGTTAAAAGGGGTTTGATAAGTTAGTAATTTTGTCCTAGGTTTTTTGAATGTGACAGAGAAAGGAAAAACTGTTCAAATACCAGAATTATGAGAGTTATTTGTAAAATGTACTGCAAGTTGAAAATAATGACTTGATTAATAAATGATATGACCCAGTGACTTCTATTCCATAGTATTCTAACAGTTTGTAAGCACTAAATATGTAAGAGTGGTTATTATGTGAACCATATGCTATAATTTTTAAAGCAAATTATAAACTTTAGTATTAGCGTGAGTGGAGAAATTCCAGCAATGTCCATCTGGAGGCTCTTATTTAAATAAAAAAAAATAAAGATCTTGAGATGGAGAGACAGAAATTTAGTTGGATAATAATTATATATACATAGGGTTAGACTACATGAGACAAGAAACAACTAGCAGGGAAAGAGCAGTTATCAGAGTGTGGGCTAATTTCCAGCACTTAATCAAACATCTTGAAGGTGCTTGAATTCTTACAGCTAGAGTAGAAAGACCTGCTAGTAATTTACAGAAGATCATATTTTACTTTGAAGTTAAATTATTGCTAGACCTGCCTTATCAAGATAGTCAAAATGTTAAAGACTTGTTTTTGAACAGGACATTAACGTAATTCCATGTACAGTATATTAAAACTCCATAAATGCATTCAGAGTAAATATTTTAAAGTAAATGTCTTTAGTTTTCATGGATGCATGCACAGTACAGCTGAGAATAGGCAAATTGTCCTGTGTTTAATACATGTTTATTAAAAGACAGTGGGCCTTCAATAGTAAAGTATCTTTAAGGCTTTCATGATAATAAGTTGCTCCCAAATCAGATTTTTCCCATTTTTTAATCTCTGCAAAGTACTGATTTCCCTAAGGATAACATAGGTATTACAGTCTTCAGATTTAACTGATTAGGACCAAACATTCACTTACTCTAATACAAACACTTAAGTTTCACAGATGGGATTGCGGTAGAAAATGAGTTTGAAACTTTTCATATTGTAATCACCTGGAAATTTTTTTTAAAACTTCCATTTCTCACTTTGCTATGCCTCATACCACTCATCTTCTCTCAAAGCAGGAGGCATCTACAGGCGGTTCAGTGTGTGCAGCCAAACTTGAGAACAGCAGACCTGATAGTAGGTTCACTGAATGGAAATGTGAATTTTTTTTTTAAAAGAATAAAATCAAACAAAACAGAATAAAGCTAATCAGAACAGAACGATGAAAGTGATACGGGACTTCAAAAACAAGGAATCAACAGGAAATATTAGGAAATCAACAACAAAACAAGTCAAAAAAGAATGAAAGCATACTAAAACAAAACAGTGATAGCCATACAGGACTTCAAAACAGGATAATAGGGAAATGAATCATGGCTACCGTGATTCCTCTTGTTATCTTTAGACTTGCCACACATACTGTCAGACATAATAAAAGCAGAACAGAATGAGACCAATCAAAACAAGACATTGAATAAAAAAAAAAAAAACAACAAAATGGACCAAAACAATAATACTGGGTTTCAAAAGACAGAAGGAAATCCTCCATATTTGTTATATTCCATAGTGTTATCCTCTTAATAGATGTTCAGAGTACTGGCCTTAGGTCTTCGGTCAGTCAAGCAATGTAAGCATTAATTTTTTAGGCAGGTGTTTATATCACTGTGCTTAATCCCCAGCCCCTATTTGTTTTTGTACCTCAGTTGCTATCAACTCAGCCTGTCCTGAATCAGCCAGTTGCTTATGGCAGGGGAGGCAGGGGGTGGTGTGTTCTTGTTTCTCAGCCCCCCTTGCCAGTTGGCTCATGGAAAGTGTGAATTGTTTCTCTTCTCGAGCCCCCATGGATCGATTTTTAAAGAACAAGGTGCAATCTAGGATGAATGAGAGCTGGGCAGATCCTGATGTCCCCCGCTGACACCTGGATCCAGCCACACCTAAAACTGATTGCAGTTGATTTTAAATAAAATACATATTAAGTTTTTAGAATATTTTACCATTAATTTAATCTATTGTTATTATTGTTCTTTTTTCTTAGCTCCTTAAAAGGAGTTAACTGTATTATTTAAGTCATTTGTCCTTTATGTCTTTTCAGTGTGTAGTACTACTCTCTGGGTTGGTCAAGTGGACAAGAAGGCAACACAACAAGATTTAACTAACCTTTTTGAGGAATTTGGACAGATTGAATCTATTAATGTAAGTATAAGTTTTAAAGCAAGTATTTAAGGCTATAAAATTCTATTCATAATCACCGCAGCAAACTTCCTAGTTAGGTCAAGTAACACCTAGCTTTTTACTAAATAAACATCTTTGTAAGAATTGTTTTACATTTTATCATTTCTGACCATTCTATCATTTTGCTGTTCATCTCTAACTTTTTAATGGTGTTCTGACAAAATACTTGGAAGTTTCATAGCAGTATAACACTTGCTTCATAAGAACAGCAAATGTGAATTAGCAGGAACCCTATATGTGATCTGATTTTTTTGAAAATTAATTCTATTGGTATAGAATTTTTGATATATATAATGATCACATTCATCCTAGAGAATGTGTACTGATACATAATATATCCTGAGTCTTTTTTTTCCCTGTTCCCCTCCCTTTGCACTTTCCTTTTTTAAATGTATGTAGGGAAGCTGTGTTCCACAGAATTGTAATCACCTGCACACGAACACTTATGTATTAGTACATATACAACTGGATGTGGGATACTAGTTTTTTGTGCAAGGTTTTTCTTTTCTCTCAGTGTGTCTCTTTTCAGAGCACATGCTAAGACAAAAAACAAAATACTGTGATCAGGTACTTTTTTGGAAATTGAGCATATTTCTTTGCTCTTCAACTGCATTCTTGCACTGGTTTTGCCCTACTTAGTCTCCTTTGAGTGTTTTGTTTTCTGAGACTTTCTGCTTTAATTAACCATTTAAATTGTTTTTATTCTTACAAATTGTTTGCTTTCCTATCCCTCTTCTATTGCATAAATTGCTCATACTGAAATAAAACTAAGCAGTGAAATGTTTTGTGATCCTTTATTAGTTTGAAGAGGCTTTTAATTCATATTTTTCTGATTTCAGTAGCTGCTGTTAACCCCCCCCCCCCTTTTTTGTCTATTTGACCACTTATTACTATTTTTATTGTTGTTGTTATTTCCTGTTTTTGAGACAAGGTCTTGGTATGTAATTCAGGCTGACCTTCAGCTTGCTTTGTAGCCCTGGCTGGCCTTGAACTTGCAGTGATCCTCCTGCTTCAGCCTCCCAAGTGCTAGGATTACAAGCATGTGCCATCATGCTTGTCTAACCATTTATTATTTACCAGATAATTACACAGTTTTTCTTTAGTCTGAATTCCCAATGTTCCTTTTGTGGCCTAACTTCTTTTTATTAACAATTGCATTCTTCATTTGAATTGCATTTGAGTCTTTTGTGTTCTGTTTTCCAGTACATATAATTCCATTGGACTTGCACAAAAAGTTGATTAAATAATTCAAGTATTGTTATTTTTCATAAGAACACTAGATGATTTTTTTAGTTAACCAGATAATAAATAGGTGATTGAGTATTTTAATTTAGATATTTCAAATTTCTCTTACCCAAAGAATGTTGTAGGAGTGTTATTCTTTTGTCTTTTTAAATTTCACGTTTCTTTCTAAGTCAATCAGTATAACCTCTGAAATTTTTTCTGATTTTCTTGTAGCCTTAAACTAATAGTTACCAGTGGTTGCTACAAGTCAGAAATGTGTTTTTACATTTTAAAAGTAGGGATTTGCATGATGAATATCTTTAAATTTTTACTAGTGTACACAATACACTAATTCTGCTGTACAGCCAGCAACTATTGCTGTGAAAAGAACATACCGTGTATCATTTTTCTCTCCCAATAGGAATTTATAGTTTCTTATTCCACAGAGCATCTTTTTGCTGTTGCCGGCATCCTTTATTACATTTGAGCATGTAAAAGGTGCCAAGTTAATCTGAAGGGCTGGTGGTAAAATCCAAGATGTGAAAAGTTGAAAGGTTATAACCTATTCAGTTAGTTTGGGGGGAATTTGAAGACTGAGGGGAAAAAAAATCTTTTTTTTTTTTTTGCCATGATACCCATCTTTGATGTGTTTCAAGAAAGTACTTTATGTGTTGGTGAGGTGTTAGAGCTTACAGGAGTAAAGAAGAATGTCATGGGTTTGAGACTACTCTTTTAAGAAGTTTGGGTTGTTGGGGCTGGGGATTTAGTTCAGTGGCATAAGCACCTGCCCTGCAAGCAGGCAGTCGTGAGTTCGATCCCCGGTATCGATAAAAAGGAAAAAGACAAAAAAAAAAAAAAAATTGCAGGAAAAAAAAAGAAGTTTGGGTTGTTAGCAAGCCCGAGGTTATTTTGATCCATAAAGATTATTAGACATTGAGTAGTAAGTGCTAGAATACTTTGAGTTTCTCAGAAACTAAGGTGTGTGTAGTTTTCTAAATTAGTACATTGAGGATAGTTTCAGGACCTGGTGGTTTACAGGGTAGTTAAATACTTCATAATCAGTGTTTTCATTCTTATTTTGAGGCTATTTCTGTATTCATGTTAAACATTTGTCCCAAAGTACTTGGATAAAATAAAGTTTCATAAAACAAATATTTTAGTTTTATAATTAATTGTAGGTTATAGTTTTTCTTTTCAACAAGGTCTCCCTGTAGATTGTACATTTTATATTTTGGATATGATGCTTCTCTAAAACAAACTTCTGCACATACATATTATATTGGAAAAGTATAAATAGTACTAGATTATTTACTATCAACTATTTTGGCCATACAGTATTTCCCTTTTATCTGGTGGCATTTAGTATATGAAGGTATATATTTTTGTATTTGGGAAACTCTTGTGATAGTGAAAGTTTTACATAAATTATGGCTTGGAATGAAACCAAGCAGGTTTTGAATTTTGGTTTTGTTTTTTACATACGGTAATTAATTTATTGTGTGTGAATTGTGCCAGTAAATAGCTAGAGGAAGAAATTCGGTATCAAATCAATCTATCAAAATAGAAGTGGAGTATTATTACTGCATGTTCTGTTTGACTAAAACTATAAAATGCCATAATGATTTTCTGTCTTTGCTCTTGGTTTTACAAATCCAACTTTTTTGTTTTAATAGATGATTCCTCCCAGGGGCTGTGCTTACGTCTGTATGGTTCATCGGCAAGATGCATTTCGGGCTCTTCAGAAACTCAGTTCTGGATCATACAAAATTGGTTCCAAGGTCATTAAGGTAAGATTGTGTGGAGGAAGAGTTATGCCGTAGGCAGCCAACATTTAACTTTGATCTGTCATGTTAAAATCTTAAGTTTATCCTAGGAAAAAGTCACAGGTGTTCTTCATTCCTCCCTCCCACACTATCCCCCACCCCCTTTTAACTCTTGCTGTCTCTGTCTCTCTCATGCTGGGATTTGAATCCGTGACCTCCAGCATGCTGCATATGAACTCTTGCTGTGCTGCACCCACAACGATGTATTCTTTTACTATCAAGAGCACACTGAAAGACTTAGATTTTAGTATTGTGAATTTACAAAATCAGATACAGGTAAACCAAAACTAGTCAATTTGTTCCTTTCAGTCATACTTGTACAATTCTGCAAGTCAAGTAGGATACAGTTTTACGAACTGAACTCTGATGTTTACAAGTTTGTCTTGTTTACTCTTTCTTCCCAATGTCTCTCAATTTCCTAATTAATATTAGTTTCTCTTATGTAAACCAGATCCTTGTGAAGTGATTATCTACAAGTATATTTTTTCTTACTAATCCTTAAATGGAGAATTTAAAAATATTTTTCTTTTACTTGTGATTAATTCACAGTTCATTTCTGATATTTATAGAAAATTGATTTATTTAGTTTCTGCAACTGAAATGTTAAAATGACCTTTCACGGAGTAAACATATTCATGTCAAGGCTATAATTCATATGTCAGTGCTAGGTGAACCATTGAGGGTACATGGCCTGTCAGGCCACTCTTGGGACAGACTGCCCAGTGTGAGAGTCAGGCATGTACTGCCAGTGGTTTAGTCTGCCTGGAATATGTTAACATATGCCCATCTTTTGTTGTTTCGTAACCAAGTTTCTCTGAGTGAAATACTGCTTATCTCTTCTTTCCTGCTATACGGGGTTTTGTTTAAATTGTGGTAACTATCATAATTATTGCTAATATAAATTGACATTTTTATGGTGAAACTAGATTTGGATTGTTTCTGAAAATGGGTAATTTTAGACAGTAAAAAATGCAAATACTGTAAATATTATCTCTGATGCAGATTTAACACAAAGCCCAAACTAACTTTATTTGTGTTTATGTTGTTGAAATATAATTTTGAATTTTTTATACTGTTAAAGTATATATATGAGTTTCATTTTTTCCTCTCCTTGTTCTCAAAAGATTGCGTGGGCTTTAAACAAGGGTGTAAAAACAGAGTACAAACAATTTTGGGACGTGGATCTTGGAGTAACTTACATACCTTGGGAAAAAGTGAAAGTGGATGACTTGGATGGTTTTGCAGAAGGAGGCATGATTGATCAGGAAACTGTAAATACTGGTAAGAACCTAATGATCATTTTATTTAAAACCTGCTTAGAATTTTGTAATTGAAATGCATTTGGGTGATAGTCAACTCTGTGTATTTTATATACTCCTACAAAAAGAGAGAGTAAAAACACTGCTGTGTTCATTAGGCCCTATATCATAACAGGAGTAGAATTTTAGTGTAGTGTAGTGACCACTACACTAAAATTTATACAGTCTGATAATACCTACTAGAGTAGCTTTTAGCATACTTAAAATTATTTTATTTATTCTTTTAAAAAAATACATCTTTATAGAGTGTCCCTGTATTCTGAAGAATATCCCTGTATTAAATAATTTTTGAAGATCCTAGTTACAAATTTCCACATACTATATAATTTTAAAAGATTCCAGTTACAAATTTGTAAGATTTTTAAAAAAACAGATAAAGCCTGGAAGAAACATTAAAATTGCTATTCAGAAAAAAACTAAAATATTATTTATATCATATTTCTTCAGATCTTTGTTTGTTTGTTTTAACCAAATTATCTGATTTTCAAAATATTATAGTTTTTAGGCCAGTAAAATATTTTCAGATCTTTTTAGTGGTTTTCTCTGGCTGAGTATGTAGGTCAGTCACAGAACATGTACTCAGCGTGCACAAGGCTTTAAAAAAATTCTTTTCTTCCTGTCAGTACTGTGCCTGATTTCTCCAATGTTTTTTTCTTTTTCTCCAGGAGATTAATTCTTTCAGTATATATTTTCATTCCTGCTGTGTATCAGACCTAATTTTAGGAACTAGAATTATGAAATGACAATGACAAAATTACTCCTTTTATGAGTCTATGGGCCAAATCCTGTCAGTATTCTGTTCTGCCAAAAAAAAAAAAAAAAAGAAAAAAAAAAAAAAAGTACTCACATTTGATTCTCTATTTTATATGACAGTCCTAGTTTGTTGTACTGTTTCAACAGATAACATGTGGCCCACAATGCATATAATATTTGATATAAAAAAGTTTGCTAAACCATATTCTTGTGGTGAACACATGTTATTTGTCTTTAAGACAAAAGATGTTACTGTATGAGTTGTTTTTTCTTTCTTCTATTTTTGGTACTGGGGATCAAACAACCTAGCGCTTGCCAGGCAGGCACTTGTGCCACTGAGCTAAATCCCTAGCCCATGAGTTTTTTCTTCTAAACTAAAACCTTAGTATTTAGGATTAGTTGCATTGTTGGCACTTTGTGATAAATAAGTGGGTTTTGGGTTGCAGTTTGTGCACTCATCTCTAAAAGATCACTGCTGTAGTGGAAAATTGTAAATAATAAAACACAAACTGTACAGTATAATTGTATTGATAAGGTATATGAAAAAAAGGAAGGGAGATGAATGGTAAGGGTGTGGAGAAATTACAGTTCTTAAGTAATTGAAGATCTGTCGAGTGATATTTAAAGGAGTAAGACATGTAGCCATCTGTGGAAAGAACATTTGATTTGGAGGAAATCAGAAGTCTATTAAAAATAGAGACTATAGGGGCTGGGGATTTAGCTCAGCGGCATAAGCACCTGCCTTGCAAGCAGGCAGTTGTGAGTTCGATCCCCGGTACCAATTAAAAAAAGTAGAGACTGTACTAGTGTGAAGAATGATTAGTAGACAAAAGCAGGGACATGCAGAAGAGAAAGTCTTTCTAATTTTAGTTGATATTTACTTTGAGATGGAAAATCATTGGAGGACCCTTTAGAGACTTTTTTCTATTTTAATTCAGCTGTATTGTCGAGAGAGTTTTTCTGTATCGAGATAGTACTTTCTGTGTTGCCTTGTGATAAAATTTAAAGTTGCTTCCTCTTGTATCCAACAGTTTTTAAGATATGTTTCCATTGTCTCTTTTCTGTTTTCTTTAGACTAAAGGTTTTAGGCTCTTTGTCTTATGAATCATGCTACTCTTTAGTATTCTAATTGATTTATCTGGCAAACATTAAGGGGAGGGCTGAAGTTGTGAGTGTATCTTAAAGATTTGCTAAAGTAGATGAAAGATTTAGATGTGACATGAATGTATACAGAGGAAAAATAAAAGAAGTTGCACCTATTTAAAGGAAATGAATTTCAAATATCTTGTTTAGAATGGGAAACTGTAAAAAGCTCAGAACCCATTAAAGAGACAGTCCAGACTACTCAAAGTCCAACTCCAGTGGAAAAGGAAACTGTGGTCACAACCCAGACAGAGGTTTTCCCTCCACCTGTTGCCATGTTGCAGGTTAGTGCTTTTTGTCAATGTATTTTATGTTTCTATGTTTACTCATGTATTTACTTTATAAAAACTTGAATGAAGTTGTCTAATTTAGAATAAATGCTTGTGTGCATTAGGCAAATAGTTTCTTAAGTCTCTTTTTTAGAAAAAAATGGCTAGGATTGTGGTGTCATTTTGCTAAATACAAAATTTAAAGTAAATGTAAAATTATTGCATCCTTAAACTTGGATGATTGTTCTCTTTAAATTCATGTTTTCCTAAGTGTCAGATTGATAGAATAAGTATTTCAATGAATTTAGTCAAGCTTTTTTTGAAAAAAAAAAATGTTTAGAAATGGTATCATCCATATTTATATTTATTTAATGAACATATGTTATATTGAGTGCTGGCTGTGATAAATGCCCTGTTCCAGGTACCTTGGATTAGGAACATGTCGGTGAGGGAAAAAAAGTACATAAATTTCATGGAGTTGTCATTCTCAGTTTGGGAGAAAGCAGATGTAAGAGTAAGATCTTGTGGAAGGAAAAAGATACTAAAAGATTAACAGAGTTTTGTGGTTAGATGCTTACATGTCAGAATGGGCCTAATTGAAAATGTGACATTTGAGTGACGACTTAAAGATGATGAGGGAATTAGCTATGTAGATGTCTCCGGAAGAAAAGTTCAGGCAGAATGATGAACCAATGCAAAGTTCTTATGCCAGGAACTATGTCTGCTGCATCTCAAGAATGATGGAATTCTTACATGGTTATACATAGTACAGGCAGGTTATTTGTAGAGAACCTTTTTGAGTAATCAGTTTTTCATTCTGAATGAGATAAGCTGTTGGAAGTGTATTTCCAACAGAGGGATGACTAGATCTGAATTGAGTTTTAAGGTAGTTTTGAGATTAGGCTACAAATAAACATTGTTAAAAACTGGGAGACCAGTTAAAGAACAGTTGTGATACAGTTGAAGGATAATAGTAGCTTAGACTAGATTGCTAATGGTGGAAGCAGGGAAACTTGTTCAGATATATTCTGATGGTATAATCAGTGGAGCTACCTAGAAGGATTGGATTTAGAGTTGTAAGAAAAAGCAGAGGTGACATTTGGGTATGAGAAGTTGGAAAGATAGTTTTCACTATTTTGTACATGTCAAATATGAAATGTCTCTAAAGTTAGATGTTGAATAGGTACAATTGATAATGGGAAGTTCAGAGAGAGGTAAAGCTATGTAGTGGATAATTTTGGGGGCCTTTATACCTAGAATGTGTAAAAGAAATACATGCTGGGATTAGAAAATAGATCTATTAGAAATCCAAACTCTAAAGTTGTTATTGACATATTAAGTAACGGTGATTTAATATAAGTATTATGAAACTTAGTGGAGCTGACATTTGTAAACTGAGTCTGATATTCATTGTTTAGCTAGGTACCTATCCCTTTATATTATTTAAATATAAGAAAAATTTCACGATATCCAGGTACATTATCTGTCGAATACTGTTAACTTGTTTCTGTCATATTTAGCTTTATGTACAAATATACAAAGCGAGAGGGGACTCAGTATAATAATATATGCTAATTTCAGTATAATTTACCTTTAGTTGCCCCAAGATATAAAATCATTGCAGGTGAATAAACTGATTAGTGGACCTTTTTGTATCCACAAGATTCCAGTAGCTCCAGCGGTGCCTACCGTTAGTTTAGTTCCACCAGCCTTTCCTGTGTCAATGCCGGTTCCTCCTCCTGGCTTCAGTCCAATCCCTCCACCTCCTTTTCTACGAGCAAGTTTCAACCCTTCACAACCACCTCCTGGTAAGGAATTTTGTCTTATTATTTGAAACCTATGTAAAATGTTATGAAAGATCTTTTTCCAGTGGCATCAGTACCACCAAGAAGGCTTGTTAAAACACAGAGTATTGGATATGGCCTGCAGTGTTTAGTCCCATTATTAGGTCTGTGTTGGTTGCCAGGGGATATCATTTCTAATTTGTCCTCAGAATGTAGGTTGCTGGAAGAATCACAGACAGAAGTAGTGTAATTCTTCTAAAATCGTTGAAAGTCATGATTTTTACTCTCAAGCTTGTTGGCACCTGCCTATAATCTTAGCATTTGGGAAGCTGAGACAAGAGGATCACTGAGAGTTTGAGGCTAGCCTGAACTACATAGCAAGTCCTATTCTCAAAAAATCATTATTATAAAATTTATGTTGAAGTTTAAAGTGAAAATTGTAATTGTCACCCTGCTGTCAGAAAGGTGGCATTCTATAGGTTCTCCCTCCTAAAGTTCAGTAGATTCCAGTATTTTAGAAATTATAGTATATTTTTAATCCAGTTGAAATTAGTATACTTTTTTTAACCTATCAAATACATTTTAAAAAGTTCCCAAGTCATTGTTTCTAGATTAAAAAACTAAATTACTTAACACACATTTTAACAAATACATATCATCGCTTATTTAGATTTCTTTTTTTTTTTTGGTACTGGGAATTGAATTCAGGACCTGGCACCTGCCAGGCAGGCGCTTATGCCACTGGGCTAGATCCCTAGCCCTGCTTGTTTAATGTAGAGATGGAGCCTTTGGTATTAGGCCATGGAAGATTAGAAGAATGAGGAAGAGATACTAAGGATCATGTGATATATATATATTGTTTTCCAAATTAAGAAAAAAAATGTAGCTTAATGATTTGTGTATTAAAAGAAATATTTCATTCTGTAAGTACTTAGCCATTGGAGAAAGTTTTTAAAAATTGTCAACAAATAGAAAGTAAATTCATCATCATAGTATAGTTGTAATTTTTCAGAGTAACATTTTTAAAATTTTGATTTACTACATAATTTGAAATTAAAATTTTAATAAGAATTTTATATTTTAGATATTGAAATACTCTTACTGAACATTTTGTACTTATGATTTGAAAGTTGAAATTTATTTCAAAAAAATTTAAAACTTAATTTTTATGACTTATGATTTCATGTCATTTGTCTTAAAAATTACATGTCTTTATTCTTTATTTTTAATCAGTTTTCTAAATTGAGTTTAATAGAGCTGTACTTTTAAAAATGCAGAGATTTACAGTTTGATTGTTTGACCTCTGAAATCACAAAGCCCAGTATTAAATTGAAGATTTACTAACCTTTGTTTAAAACAAACAATATTACCCAAGGTCAGCAAAAATATTTTGAATTTAGTAAATAGCATATATGTCAGAGAAATCCATACACATATCTGACAGATGACAGTAGTGTATTGCATATAGTGTAATCAGTGGCCTGAAATATGTTCAGCTTTCCCCATATAGTCACTGTTGTAACATATACTTTTTTTCCCCTTTGGTACCAGGGATCGATGTTCTAACATAAACAGGTTACCAGGTCTAATTTATAGTAGTATAGAACTCACCACAGGAATGAATGAGTGAATAAATAGATCAGGTTCTCTATGTTTTATCTAGCTTTCTAGGGATCTAATAAATAGGTAAAGTATATAAAAGTTATTTTAAAAATAGAAAATACACAATAATGAGTGCATAGTAATAAAAGACTTTCAAGAATGCTGAATTTCACTGTGTGTGGTAGCAAACATTTGTAGTTTTAGCTATTGAAAAGCTTGAGGCAGAATGACTTTAGCCTGTGGGCTCAAGGCCAGACCAGACAATGTAAGAACTGATCTCCAAAAACAGGATGGAATTTCATTTGTGGTTGTTGAAATCTTTAATTTTAAATACGTAACTTTTCTTGTGCCATTTTATCCTCCCCCAACCCCCCATAGGTTTCATGCCACCACCAGTTCCCCCACCGGTTGTACCACCCCCTGCAATTCCTCCAGTAGTACCGACATGTGAGTTTTCTGTATACAGAATTTTCTTTATTACCTGTACTGATGATGTGTTGGTTCTTATTCCTGTGAATTTTTTTTATTATGAAAGTTTTTAAACGAATTTGTGCTGTGATTTCTAAAAATTAACCATATCATAGGATAGTCCTTAGTTATATTTGCTTTGTTGTCTCAAAATGTCTGTGTAATGAATTTTAGTCAAAATTTGGAGAAGACCTTTTCACATTTTTTGTCCTCAGGATACATATTTGCAGAAAGTATATAATTAGGATTCTGCTGTGGAAGGTTTTCTTCTTGCAGTTGTGGAACCAGTTTTATAGGTTACTTAAAAAAGAAAAATTTTTAGTAGGTTATTTATTCCAGATTACCTGGTTTTAATATATTGTTTTCTTTACTAAAGTGTACATTTCAAGAGGAATGCAAGAACTCAAATGATTATAGGCATTTGACTTTTAATTTATTGTACTGTATTGAACATTCAATACATTTTTACTCAGCTTTTTTTCTTTTGTCTACTTTTTATCTGTAGTAATTCTCCAGCTTTCAAACTTTCAATAATTAGGCAAGCCTACTTCAAAAATTTAGACCTGAAAAAATCCGTATGTTACAAAATGTATGTCTCATAAGATTTTAGCTTTTGATATTCTACTCAATTTTCTTTGTATTTTTTTTCCATTGTATTTTAAAATGCTTTCCTTTCAGTGTTTAGGTAGCAGTAAAATCCTTTATTTTTGACACTGTTGGTTAGTTAGGAATAACTATTTCTAGAAACTACAGAAGATATTCAGAAGTTATTTCTGACTTCCTTATACATAGAGGCTTATGCTAGAACTTACCTGTCGATTATGTCTACTTAGTTAATTTTAGAAGATCTAAGATCATATAATAGAGGAAGAAATATCTAGTATTCTACAGATTGCTTCCAGTGTCTCATTTAATTTCATTTTCTAATACTTGCTTATGACCACAGATGGTTTTATCTCAACTTTAACTCTCTGTTGTGCTAACAGTGCATAGTTAATTCTAGATTTAAATACGAGGATAAAGTATTTTCTAAAATCTGCAAGTATGATTTAACAGCATTGGACCAAAAATTACAACTGGATATTTTATTTTTCTGTAGTTCTGCTTTTTAATACATAAATGACATATGCTGAGTGATTTTCCTCCTGCTTCTTTAGTGTGGAATGCTTATAACTATATTTCTTGTCTAGCTTGCCTATTCTTATTTGAGTTTCTAATCTTACTTGATGAAAGATTGAATGTAAGGACTCTGTTGTACTGTAATATCAAGGAGATTGGTTAGACTTTTCAGTCTGGTACCTAGTTATCAGTATGTGCTAATTGTTTATGTATTTTGATTATTCCCGTAACCAGATTTAATTTTATATAATACTAGGATTTACTTCTTCAGTACTGGTTCTTTTTTTGATCACTTTGGGTGAAAATATTTCTTAAATTTATTGGGTTTTCCTGTTTTTAAAAAGCAAAGCTTTGTAAGTATAATTTAGCCTCTTCCTGATCACTCACTGGCCAGTTTGAGCATTAGTTATTATATAATGTAGTTAGTAATACAAAAGTGCCATGAAATGAAATATTTAGACTGTCAGAAAACTTAGTACATGAATTGATAAATCTGAAATACGTTTTTCTCCTCTATAAAACAGCTTTAGTGCAACCACCATTGTCCATGACCCCAGAAACTGTGAAAGATGTTGGATTTGGTAATCTTGTTTTACCAAGTGGTTCCGTTGCCAGTGGTCTTGCTACTGCTACTCTGCCAGCTGGAAATGTTTTTAATCCCCCAGCTAAAGCAGAGCCTGAAGAAAAAGTACCTCATCTTATAGAACATCAGATTTCTTCTGGTGAAAATACCAGATCAGGTAAAACAAAAAAACAAAATCAATGGAAATGCATGCACATTTCTTCTGTTTTTGGTGTTCATTGTGGGGTGGCTTTTGTAACTAGTTCAGTGCACAAGTGCTGACATATTCTAATTTTTTGAGGGATCACTATGTCCTGTGAATTACATTTTTATATAATGACATTGTGTTGAAAATAACATAGATTTCAACACCTTTTCATTAATTACCCTCCTCCTAGGGAGGGAAGGTCTTACTCCTTTTTGGCCTGTTGGGACAGCTATAATGTGTTGCCATCAAAATAAGAGTGCACAAAATCTATATAATTTATAACATAAAAATTAGCAAATATGGCCAGTCTTATTGGCACGTGCCTACAATCTCAGCACTCTGGGAGACAGAGGCAGGAGCATCACAGTTTTCAGCCTAGCCTGGGCAACTTAGAGAAACCTTGTATCGAAATTTTTAAATGGACAGGGGATGTAGCTCAGTGCAAAAGCCTTGGGTTGAATCATCAGTGCCACCAAAAATAAAGGTTTTAGGTTTGAATATTTTAATACGAACTTTCTTTTCTCTCAGGTATTACCCAGCTATAGTTAGAAGATAAATATAGTATTTGAAAGCATTAAGTCCTTCTTTTTTCTGTCTTTTTCATTTTTATCGGTATCGGGGATCGAACTCACGACCGCCTGCTTGCAAGGCGGGTACTTATGCCGATAATTTCATATGAGATTGTTTTAGGTTACAGCCTCATTAAGTTTTTTAATCTTTAAATTTCTTACTCTATATGATATTGTTCTATTTAATTTTTGTTTAATGTCTAGTATAGCTTGATTCTATAAGTAGCTGATTAACTCTTAAGTTACTTGCTAGAAATTATAGCTTTTATAATTTCTAATGTAGCTGTTGCTTCATACCAGAATAACTGGATTATTCTCTTCCCATTTTAGTGATTACAAATGATATTTCAAGTAACACTGCGATTTTAGGACAGCCACCTAATGTGACAAGCAATTCTGGAATTCTGGGAGTCCAAAGACCAAATGTATCAAATAATTCTGAAATACTTGGGGTCCGGCCAGCTAATGTCTCCAGCAGTACTGGGATTATTGGAGCCCAACCACCAAATATCATAAATAACTCTGGAATTTTGGGACTACAACCACCAAATGTGTCGAATAGTTCTGGACTTCTGGGAGTACTACCCCCAAATATGCCTAATGCTTCTGGACTTGTAGGAGTACAGCCACCAAATGTTACAAATACTTCTGGACTTTTGGGAGCACAGCCACCAGCTGGACCTCAAAACTTACCCCCTTTAAACATCCCTAGTCAAAGGATGCCTGCAATGCCAATATTAGACATCCGTCCAGGACTAATACCACAGGCACCTGGACCAAGGTTCCCTTTAATACAGCCTGGAATTCCACCTCAGCGAGGAATCCCTCCCCCGTCAGTACTTGACTCAGCTCTTCATCCACCACCCCGTGGACCTTTTCCTCCAGGAGATATTTTCAGTCAGCCAGAAAGACCTTTTCTAGCTCCTGGAAGACAAAGTGTAGACAATATTACTAACCCAGAAAAAAGGATACCACTTGGGAATGATAACATCCAACAGGAGGGAGATAGAGATTATCGGTTTCCTCTCATAGAAACCAGGGAGACCATTACTAGACCTCCCCCTGTGGATGTTAGGGAAGTGGTTGGGCGGCCTATAGATCCAAGAGAAGGTCCCGGAAGGCCTCCATTAGATGGTAGGGATCATTTTGGAAGACCTCCTGTAGACATAAGAGAAAATCTTGTGAGGCCAGGTATAGATCATCTTGGTCGAAGAGACCACTTTGGCCTTACTCCAGAGAAGCCCTGGGGGCACAGAGGAGATTTTGATGAGAGAGAACACCGGGTTCTACCTGTTTATGGAGGTCCAAAAGGCTTGCATGAAGAAAGAGGTAGATTTCGAGCTGGAAACTATCGATTTGATCCTAGAAGTGGTCCTTGGAACAGAGGATTTGGACAAGAAGTTCACAGAGATTTTGATGACCGAAGAAGACCCTGGGAGAGGCAGAGGGATAGGGATGACAGAGATTTGGATTTCTGCAGAGAAATGAATGGAAATCGTCTTGGACGAGATAGAATTCAAAACACTTGGGTCCCCCCTCCTCATGCTCGGGTTTTTAATTATTTTGAAGGGGCCACTTCTCAACGAAAAAATGATAATGTGCCTCAGGTTAATGGTGAAAATACAGAGAGACATGCTCAGCCACCGCCTTTAACAGTACAGAATGATCCTGAACTTTATGAAAAACTGACATCTTCAAGTGAGATAAACAAGGAGAAGAGTGACACAGTTGCTGATATAGAAAGTGAACCAGTGGTGGTAGAAAGCACAGAAACTGAGGGGACATAATCATCACTCAGTAGGTAAAAGATACCTTTTGTAAAGTTGTCATCTCTCTGTAATAGATTAATGGCTGACTGGACCATAGTTGTTCACTTTTGTCTGCCAGAATTAAGTTAATCTGATGTTCATGTTCACCTTTCTCTTAAAATAATTGTACAACTGACTTGTATAGACATTGTTCTTAATATGAACATGGTAGGTAAACATCTTTTTTATTTTTCTGATAAAATATAAATGTTGCCCCCAGATTCTTTTAACGTCAAGGAAATGAATTAACAGCTTGTCAAAGACTTCCTATGGAAGAAAGAATTTTTAGATACTATCATTAGGTTGGATATGGTAATAGATATATTTCAAGATAGCAAATAATGGTATATCTTACCCATATCTCTAGGTTGCTGCAGAATTTTAAGGTAATAGACAAAGCTGTGATATTTTATGCAAAGACTGACTCTAGATATTTGAGGAGCATAATACAGAGATTTTAAAAAGTGATTTTGTAAAATCTACACCATGGTCTCTGTTACTCCAAAGTAAGTGTGTGTGATTTGTTCCTCATGCTGCAGTGAGTAAAAAAGCAAACAACACAAATATTAAAGTACGTTTCAATGTTGGGTGAATTTTGTTTTTAGATGCCAATAAAACTTACTTGTTTGATAACAGTGTTCTAGGAATTGTATTTTTTTAACCTACAAATTCTTAAAACCATGACTCAGTAGCATGTGTTTAGCTGTAAAAGTTTCCTATTCCTATTGCTCTTAAAACGACAATGAAGAACTGTGTGGTGGAAAAGCATGTACTTTGATATAAAAATCATGCAGTCTCACAAGTATGTATGTGATATTTATGTATGTTTATTGTATGAGTCAATGTAGTTTTTTTATTTCTCTGTATATTGCCATACATATACAGAGAAAAAGTTTTTTAAAAATCAGGTAATAAAATATTCTTTAAAACCTCATAGAAAATTGGAGACATTTGGCAAATTAACATTGCTCATTCTGTAGTTATAGCTTTTAATCTTGATGAAGATAAGAAAGAGAAACATTGTCAGGGTAGCAGTTCCTTTTTAATATAAAGCATGATTTCAGATTTAGCATGGAACCAAATTTACATATAAGCTTGCATCGCCTCGTTGAACACTATATTTGGTATTCTGCATGGATAGTGTAGCACTAATGAGCATAGTAATTTACATGCCTGATGTGAATTTCTTTGTTGCACAAAGTGTATACTGATGTTGATGGACTTAAAGATACTGATTTGTGTACCAGTAACAAAATGTCCATCATGTATTTCTCAGGCTCTGAGTAACAGTTCTTAAATAAGTCTCCAAGACTTATTTAAAATAGGAGAAAAATAAGGGGAGTTGGTTTCCTGGGAGGTTTTTTGTTGTTGTTTATTTTGCTTTTAAGTTTTATGTATTTGTTGCTTGTTTTCTTTTTGATTTTCCAAATACTATAGATGCATACATAAAATCACTGATTTTTTTTTTTAGTTTCTAGTGAAAGACTTTCATTGCTTTTGTCAGTACTCATTTTCTTTCCTTTGCATTTCTGACGGTTCATCATTTGCTTATCTAAAATTCCTAAGCTGTTTGTCAGTCCTCTAGTAATGGAAGAGCACATCAGCCATAAGCTTGGATTGGTGTTTTTGTTTACCTCTGATAACCTAGATAAGCTATAGGTACTTTTCTGTTTCTGGCCAAAAATAAATCTTTTTATTTACAGTGTCCTAATAGATATAACACGTGCTTTTATCTGGAAAAACAGTAGAAGTGATTAAATGGTGTTTATGTCTGAGGTAATTCAGTCAGTAATTTGAGTTGGCTTCAGACATTAGGGGATTAAGGAAAAACTACAATATTAGTGCAAGATTTTAGTGTTCAGGAAAGATCAGCCCTGTCCTTAAGTAATACTAAACAGATTCTCCTTTAAACTACTTGAGTTGCATTTACCATGATTAAAATTGACATTCACTTGAGTTAAATAGCCATGAGAAATGTGAGATTCTTTTTGTGTGTGTGATTTTTGACCCCAAGCTTTTCTTTTCTTTTTTGTGTGTCTTTTTCCTTTTTATCGGTACCGGGGATCGAACTACGACTGCCTGCTTGCAAGGCAGGCGCTTATGCCGCTGAGCTAAATCCCCAGCCCCCAATCCTAAGCTTTTCATTGCTGTTAGACCTTCATGTAGGTACTTGAAAACAAGTAAGTTCAAGTATTGTGCTGGTTCAAAGGTTTTGGAGGTGAAAGTTACCTGATCATTTGACAATAATATTATCTTAAAACATATCTTGGAAATGTGGGTGATACTCTTTTTAAGATAGGTAGAAAGAAATTATGCGTTTGTTCTTACTTTGTCCTTGTTTTGCTATAAAATATTTAAGTGGAAGGAGATCATTCATTCTCATTTTAAATTTCCAAAACTGGTATTTACATTTTTTTAAAGTGCAGGAGAGAAAAGTTAAGTTTACTTTAGTAAATGAGATATAGTGGTGGAGTCTATGACTTTTTACATTTAGTCATACAATTGAAGAAATCCAGGGTTCATTATTGAAATGGACATTTAATTCAGTGAAAATGTATGACTATTGCTGTTAGTGAATTTGAGTAAATTCCCCACCCATGTAAATGTTCATACACACATATACACTTAAAAGAGGTAGGGCTGGGAATTTAGTTCAGTCAAAAGTGCCTGCCTGGTGAGTGCTAGGTCCTGAGTTTGATCTCAGATACCAAAAAAAGGGAAAAAGAAAGAGAGATGTAGAGAATATTTTCGTATTTTTCCTCATTGTATATTTTCAGATGCACACAACATTTAATGAACAAGGAAATTTTATATTCAATTAAGGATATTTGTCAGATAGTAAATGTCTCCATATTTATACTATTTACTGGGTGCTATAAAAGTTTTAATGGTTTTAACTTTCGAAAAGAATTACCATTTTCGTCTTTAAGCATTTACATAATCCAGAATGAAATAACAAATGTCTTTACATTCATTTTTAAGATAGGCAAAATAAAGCACTAAATTTGTAGTCAGATGTTGTAGTGTGGCATAGAATTATTTATGTTTCCTTAATTATTCATACTTTGATTCTATTTATAAAACATCTTTTAAACTGTAAGTTAAATTGTAAGCATTAAAATATTTATTTTTCAATTCTGAAGAGAAAAATTGGTTGTCGTAGGTTTTAATAGAGTTTTTAAACAAGATGCTTTGATCTAACAAAATTTTTTAAAGCTGAAAATTAAAATTAAACAGCCTAGATTACTTTCTTTGGGGGTGAGTGCTGGTGAGAAGAATACTTATCTTTCTGCTTTTCAGCCAGGAAATGTATAATAGAATCACTAGTGAACTATTTGAAAGTTGTAGAGTAATTGGTGGTCATCACAGTCTAATGCAGAATATTCTGTGGTGATACACACACATAAATTATAAGCATATGTTATCCAAAGTTATGTACATGTATTTTAAAGACCCCCACATACTGCCATTTTAGATACATTAAAATTGGTAAATCTCTATACCATATATTTAAGATTCTTAACATTTTAAACACATTAAAAAACTTGCTTAGAGCTGTTTTTAGTGTTACATAGCAAAGCAGTAGAGTTAATTGGGTCAACTGCTTATGGAGAATTTATTGAAAAAAGAGATCAGTTATAGATAATTCAAATGTTAACCTAATAAAGGAACCATTATAACAAGAAAAACTTGGAAGGAAGCTCGAGATAACTTTGTGGGATACAAACACTCCTTGCCCCCACCAGGCCCACTAGTTTTATTTTCAGACATCATCTCAATTGAGTTTAAATTGCTTAGGCTGGACTGGAACTTGGGATCCTCTTGCCTCAGCTTCCCAGAGTGCTGAGGTTACCATGCCAAACTGGTTGTAGGATACATTTTTTTACACAAGTGGACCTTTTAAAATAGTTCACTGAAAAGTAGAATTTCTTTGGTATTTTGTAATGTTGATTATAGAATAAACCTCTTTGAAACAAAATTGCGTTGTGATTATAAAAAATATAAAGAATATTATTAGCAAGACTACTTAGATGTGCACTGCACATGAATAATTGAATTAGTGGTTTCTTTGGAACTTTACTCTGACATTTTTCTGTCCTTGCAGTTAATTCCATTTATTGAGCAGATTTTTCTTCCTGTATATACAGTTAGAATTACTTTGTCTTGCCATTCTAAAGATTAGTCAAGATGCGGAACAAATGTTCTAAGTAATATGCACACATCAATGAGGAGAAATACACTAATAAACTAATTTAGTATTGTATAGAAGATTTAGATACGTCAGCTAGTAAATTATGTGTACTTTTGCACAGAGCTCAAGACAGTTTAATGAGTATACATACAATTGTCCCTTGATATTAGAGGAATTGGTCTCAGGATGATTTCCTTGGATACCAAAATTTGTGGATACTCAGGTTCTTACATGAAATACCATAGTAACCTACACATAGCATCCCATATACTTTAAATCATCTCTAATTATTTAGAGTTCCTAGTACAGTGTAAAGGCTATGTTATTATACTGCAAATTATTTAAGAAATAATAATAAGGCATAATAAGTCTACACAAGGTATGGGTGCCTTTTTCACCAAATGCTTTTTTATCTGAAGTTGGTTAAATCCACAGATACAGAAGCAACATGCAGAGGACTTGCTATTGTAGAAGTTGGCTGTCCTATATTTATTGTCTGGTCTTACTCTACATCTATCACTGTTTTATTTTTCTACTTTTCCCTAAACAAATCATTATCATAGCCCTCCAGGTTCCTCTTTCACCAGGCCTCTGGGCAAGGGCTATTGGATTTGTTGAAAGTAATTTTATATTCCTTTACTGACTTATAAGGTCATTTACAGAAATAAACCTTTTGTTCTATAAATGATCATTAAAAGAAGAAAAATAACAGTATCTTCAGACAGGTTACCAAGCCTCTAAGTATTATTTGTTTTTGTTTTGGTACTGGCTGTCGAACTCACAACCCTGCGCTAAGCCAAG